CTATGTTAGTTTATCATACCATGGCAAACCTCTGTGGGACTTGGGAAATCTGTTTAATAATTCAAAGATCATATACTATTCCGTATAACTTGATAGGTAAACAGATTTTAGAAATCATGTTTAAGACCTTTTCCCCTCCCTTCACAACCTTGTACCTTTATCAAATTGAAATTAAAAGCCCTGAAGGAACTGTAGAAGATAAACGACGCCTTCAAGCAGAACTTGAAAATTCAAACCGAAATACCAAATCTCGCTTTGCACTTGCCCAGCTAGGAAGCATTTCTAAAGTTTGTCCCATAACTTAACCGAAACGCCATATTTCCCCCGTCAATTATGTTGATTAAAACGAAATATTTCTCCGCCTTAACCCGCTGCCACGGAGCCGTGTCCCCCCACCACTGTTTGCTAATAAATTAAACAAATTGAGGACGGATCGTCGGGTCCATTGATGTGTAACTCTGGGATACCGGCGAGTCAGCGGGCTTTATTAATGGGCAAACTTAGTGACAACTAAATGAGTGCTCCGAGGGCTCCAAGCCGGTTTAGGTTTAGGGCTTCCAAGCGAGGGGAAGCCCAGCAATTAAACGAGACCAGCCCGAAACAGGTGAACAAAACTGAGAATGTATGCCCCAAAGACCGATCATCCGCTAATGATTTGGCTTGCGAGATCGCCTCTGGAATGCCTCAAAAGATCGAACACTGAAACAGAAAGCCGAAGTCCGAACCAAAAATCAAACACAAACCGAACTTCGCTTTTCGATTTTAGTGGAGTTTTGAGAAATTAATATTTTATGCTAAGTATTGAGCATCAAAAATAATGCGTATGCAAATGGGATTTGGGATTTTAAAAATATTTTCGACCCCCTCCATTCGATTTTCAGGCGACATTGTGTCTCGCCGAACCTCGCTCGCCGCTGCTGCCCATTAAAAATGCTAATTTCGAAATATTTTTTAGCTAAAAGCAAAGCTCAAAACCGCAAAGCAAAAACAAGAGCGCTGTGTTTGCTCATTAACAAATGAATTAGCCAGAAAATGCTAAGAGCAGAGGGCAGAAGCAAAACGATTTCAGATGCGTGTCCCGAAAGATACTCGGCCAACTCTGAAAAAGATACAAAAGTTAGTATGAAAAATGAAATTGAATTTTAGTATTTATTTAGGATCGGTTGCCCAAAACTTCTGGGAATCCACAGGCAAAGTAGTGACCACACGACTGATATGCAAAGAGATTAAACACGACTTGTCAATACAGATACATAAATAAGGGGAAACCCACGAAGTACGATTGATCTAGTTTTGTCTAAGTTAGAAATAAAAACCATAAACTTTGGTAGAAACAAAACGAAATGAACAAGAACTAGTCAGAACAGATACCGATTAGTGAACAAATAGAAAATTTTTACTTTTATTAACAAAAAATATCTCAATGCATAAAACTGAAGAACAAAAACAACAAATCGTCAGGGGAAAAACACGATGACGAAAGAGAGTTGGCGTCAGCGTCGACGTCGGCAGGGCAGCGCTGCAGTTTTCGCTTCCCCTTAATTTTGTTTTGTTTTCGCTGTATCTCGCTCTAGCAGCCGTCTTGGGTTTCGTTTCGTAGTAAAACGTAAAACCGAGAATGAGAGCAGAGCAGCAAGTGAATTTCATTTCCACCCTCCACAAGCGAATATACAGAGAAAAAGGCGCGCGAATGTTGAAACGATGGGAATTTGGACCGAGCGATCTCAATAAATTGTGGAATGCGAGTGGAAGGCATGTGGAACTTAAGAGCGCGGATCAACGAACGATCCAACCGCTTGTCGGTGAAAAGGCAGTGGGAAGAGAAAGGGGCAACAGTTCCAAATAGTTCGAATTCCAGCAAATGCACATATCTGGAATGGGAGCCAGAAAGAAAGCGAAGATGCGCCCAAAAACCGTTAAAGTTGCATCTATTAATTCTGGGGGAGTGGCACTGAGTCACACTTGATTTTGCTTTTAGAAAGATCTCGATAAAAAAGAATCCCCAACGAATTCATGCAAATAAAAACGGCATCCGTTGCAACAACAACTAAATGAAGGAAAACAAGTGCGTCACTTGCTCATAAATAAATAAATAATTGATGGGCGGCGGCGCAATCGAAATGTAAAAAGAAAACGCAAATAGCTAGCCAATTCGCGGCAATAACGGGACCGTGACTTGCAAATCGCAAATTCACTGAAATGAATTTGAAACACAAATGTAACTGTTTTTCGGACGAAATGAAATTAAAAACAAGCCAGTTCTGGAAATAAATTTATAAACAAATTGAATGTACTAACAAATAATTGGATGGATAATGGCTAAAACTGTGTTTATTTTAATGTACAAATGTATGAATGTACATGTTTGTATGTCATGTACATATGTATGTATGTATGTACTTACTTGCATGTGCATGTGTTTGTACATATGGACATTGGATATGCACTAATATGTACATTTTATGCTTTCTAATCCATCCATCTTGAATTATTTTGGAGTTAGGTATTTTTTCGAATTACTTCGCGTCCCAAAAGTAATATTTATGTTGATTAAAGCACTGATTAATATAAAATAAGTTGCCTGCTCCTCGTCTCTCTCGGTCAAAACGTAACACTGCAGCTCTCCTTCTCTTTTTTCCAGCTCTCCTCTCTTTTCTAGCACTCTTGAGTTTCGTTTCGACTAGAGTGTCCCATTTCCGGCGTTCCCCATGTCATCATGCCTTCCACTGCTTTCGGTCCGAAATGCGATTTTTGTTTTGCTCGGTAGTTCAGTCGGGTTTCCACCTTGGCCGCGCAAAGTTGAATTTTCTGAGTGAACTTGGAAGTTGAAAAAACGCAGAGCTCGACTAAAGTGACGCGAACTAAGCAATAATTCACCAAAATTGCAGTTTCTTAAAATATTAGAAGCACGACGCGATCGCAAATAAATAAAAATAAAACAAACGCTTTTCAAGCGGAGTTACAAGAGATCTATCGACTACGAGACGAGGACCGAGTTTTCCTTTAGCGCGCCAAAAGGAAAAGCGAGTAGAAATCCCGTGTCGTGTTAACGTCTGCCCGCAATTCGCAATTAAAACAATCTTACAATTGTCGCCGAACGGTGAAACCACAAGTGAATAAGAAGTAACAGTAAAAACAAGACAGCGCATGGAAAAATAAAGTGAAGCAAAATAATTAGTTGAGAAAACAGTGAAAAGAAAATCAACTGAAATTATGAGTGAGGAGAGCGGCTGACGATAGCAATCTGTTCACCGTTGTCTTCTTCCTCTGCCTCTTCTTCCGATCCCGAAAACGGAGGAGACCGCGAAAATACCATGAAATGCAAAAGCTGGTCCAACAAAATCAACAACTACGTTGTGCGCAAACTGAAGTCCATCAAGGTAAATATTCCACCAGGAAAAACGAATTCGACGAATTTCGAAAAAGATTCATCAGACTGGCTTATAAATTATTTTACACACTAAAATAATTTAAAAGTGAAAATTTCTTGAAACAACTACTAAGAATGGAATAAATAATTATCTGAAGTGGACTGCTTTGAACTTGTGGCACATTTGTTAAAAATTAGCATAATTAATGTGTGGGTAGCCTTTAAATCAAATTAGATTTGAAAACTTTCCACTGAGAGCACATTTTGGCTCAAGAAATCAAATCCTCGCGAAGTGGGCCATAAAATAAGCTAATACAATGGATGTCTGTAGAATAACCGCTTTAAACCCCATCTAAATGATTTTTATTATGAATACAATTTCAGATGCTTATATGTGACAATATATAAATAGGCAGTGAATGTGTATAATTAAAAAGTCGACTCCCCTTGACAACGGAAATAAAATATATATTAACGAGCGAACTTCAGACCCACATTACTGTTTTTAAAAACTGCAGTTACTTGCGCCGAGCTCAGTTTCCATTTTCCTTTTAAACACCAAAAAGAATATGTATTTATGATTTAGCCATTTGTTTTTATCTTTTCGATTAGCCAGAAACCAAGAAACTTGGCCAATAAATCATTTATTTAATTTTCTCTTGCACTCAAACTCAAACAAATGTAACGCTGCCATCCTCTCCTTTGTTATCTTCTTTTCCCCGACTTGACCACTTTTTTTTCCTCCGTTTCGCCGTTTCCTTTTTGCATTAACTTCTGGAGTGGGGGAATAGACGCAGACGCCTTTCACTTGCATGTCTGTTGCTCGATCTGCTGTTATTATTATTACTGTTTTTGTTGTTACACAAACTCATTCGCTTACACACGTACATATTTTAAAATATTTATTTACATTTGAAGTTGCCGTCGCTCTCTGGCTCTTGCTTTGTTTACGACGTCTCTCGCCTTCTTCGTCTTGCCCTGCCCTTCGCTCTTCACGCATTTTGTTTTGTCCGCTCTGTTTTTCAGCCATTCCTTTCCACTTCCCTGTTTTCCTTGTGTCTGTGTGTGTATTCGTATTCCGTTTCCCCATCCCCTTCTTTGTTTATTTTTACACCATCTCTTGCTCTACCTCTCCCTCTCGCGCGAAAATTCCTCAAATTCTTTTTTGTCCACATTTTCCAGCGGGAAAAACTAGTTTTTCCAGCAGCGCTGCATTCTTGGCCTCCACGTCTCCTTCTCTTTCTCACCCTTAGTCCATCTCAGTCTCTGCTTCTCGCTTGTTTACAGTTAGGAATGCGGTCGCCCTCTCTCTCTTACACAAAGAGTGCTCTTCGGCTCTCTTTGCTGTTGTGGATTTGAATTGGATTGTAACTTGTTTTCGCCTTGTTTATTTATAAAAAGTCACTGGCAAACAATTACAGTGCAACAATTACGCTCTCAAAAGTGGCGCGCAACTTGTTCGCCTTGTAAAAAATTGTGACGCCAGCGGCGACGCGACTGCGCTGCTTTGGCCCCATTTAACTGGGCGAGAGAGGGGAGAGAAGCACTCTCTCGTATGGCACTCGGATCCACTCGGCTGCCAGAGCTGTCGAAGCTGCGAGCAGAGCGAAATGGAAGTCTCGCCCGAATATAGTTTCTTATTGGATTTCAAACCGGACGCTTCGTGCACGCGTCGCTCCACTCTCGCACACACACCCACACCGCGCTGGCATTGATATACATATACACACACACGACGCCCAAGTTCGTGTGCTGTTGTTGTTGTGTGGTGGTGCGATTAAATAATACTCCACAAAAGGCCAAACAAATTACATAAAATCGGAATCAAAATAAGTGTCTCCGTGTTGTGTTCAAAGTATAACCGATTGTTTTCATTAGTCAAAATAGAATAGTAAATTGTATAAAAGTGAATAAGTTCCTACAAAAAAAACATTCACACACACATATACAGCGTCTTGTTTCTTATAAATTTTTCCACTGCGTCGGAATTATCGCTTTAAAAGTTGTTGTTATTGTTGTTCGATTTGGCAAATTCCTGTCAAATATCTGTGTTTTGTTTCAACAAACATATATATGCTACGTGAGATTATTAATTTGTGCAAAGCAAAAGGAAAAAACCGAGAAGGTTGAAAAATTAAAACGAGCAAATAAATAAAATTAAAACCCACACGCACACACATAGATGCAAAGCACGCGCAGAGCCGAAAAAATACGCGCGCTTTATTGAGAGTGTGTGTGTGTACGCTAGCTGGCTGCTCTTCTTCCTGCGTGTGCCCATTGGAATTTGTACCCCAAATCGCAATTACAACATACACAAACAGAGAGCGCCCGCCTGCCATCTCGCTCTCTCGCCCGCCTAGTACGCAGCCAGGAGAGAGGAGTAGAGAGAGAGAGAGAAAAAGAGCTCCAAGTTTTGTAATCGTTGATGCCCAAGGCGCTTAAACGTAAGTTGTATGAGTGTATGTTAGTTGTCGAGAGCCGTTGCATTTGCATTCTAGTTCTGCGCTCTCTCGAATGCATTTTCATTCATAGGCGCATATTTACTATTTGGTAACGTGCTCTTTACACTAAGCTCCGAATTTTGTGTTTGAGTGTATTTAAACTAACAATCATGTTCACAGTGTAAGCAGGCAGGCCTTGCTTCTTCCGTCAAAGTCAGAGCGAGTTCAAAATTAATCGTTTAAATTTTCATTAAAACTAGAATTCCTAACATGGATCAACTTCAGGTATTTAACCGCTGTAAAAGAACTATTTCACTCAGATCTGCGTTAGTCTGATTTTTGAAATCCAGCAGCGAAAGGCGTTGGCTAAAAATACAAAGCCTGGAACGACGAACATAATAAAATAGCTACCAAAATTTCCGCGAATTTTTTATTACTGTTTGTGCATAAATTTTGTGTCTGCTTCTGTCGGCGAGGTGTTAGTGCCCCGCCCACTTAGTTACCAACATTTTCTCTAGCACTAGTGTCAGAACACGATGGCTGAGAGCAGTTTAGATAGTTACTGCTTAGCGGTTAGTAGTTCCAAAAGATAATCGTAATAAAAATGAAAGAAAAAGATGAAAAGTTGTTGAATCAGTTTAAGGGGCTCGTTTGCCACACAAACAAGCAATCAAAACAAGCAAAAACAAAAACGCTAATGATAGTTTTACCTTTTTTTTTGTTGCTTTGGCTTTTGCTTTTGCTGCGTGTGTGTGGCCTCGGCTAGCATTTTCAATTTTAATGTGCCAAAATTAAAAACATTTGTGTATATTTAGCGTGTACGGGTTTGGTTTTCCTTTCGCAATAAACTTTGGCCACATACCTTGAGATAGACAGCCCACCTCCCTCTCTTCGGGCTATTTCTAATCAAACGTCCCCTCGAGTGGTGCATTTTGGCTTTCGATTGGCTGCATTCTGTAGACGAAAATCTTATTTATAAATATAAATTAAACCCGGTGGCAGGGGCGTGCGAAGGGGGCGGCCTGAGGTGGCAGCAGAACGTCCAACCGCGTTGGCCCGGCAATAAAATAGATTAATTTAAATGTCATTTTTGTCTAGACGCCGCAGACGACGCTGACAACGAGTCGTCGGGCGGTTCTGCTCTATGTTTATAGATCGGTTACATATATCCCCATATTCATTCCCATCCCCCACATAATGCATATATAAGATCGACTCGGACTCGGTCTCGGTCTCGGACCTGTGTCATCTGCTTTTCGGCAGTTCTCTTGCTCTTCCCCACAGTCTAGGAAAACTTTCCCGATTTTTAAAAATTTTCCAAAGCATCTTTATGGATCTTCTTAATGTGGTTATTATTGTAATGTTCGTCTCGATGCAAATCAGTTTTTTCAGGTGCCGTGTGAATCTGGTTGGGCCCCTGTAATGAATAACAATAAAGTTCGGAATTTTGGGTATTTCCTGTTTAGTTATTGGCCCCTGAAGTTTTTTTTTCTTTTTTTTTTTTTGGCCATTCACCAATTGGTTGACCAGTTTCAGCCGCTGACGCAGATCGGCGGCTTAATTAGCCTGGCAGTCGCCAAAAGATTTAAAAAAGGTAGATTAGCAACTTTTTGAAAAGTTTTTCTCTTTTGTGTGTGTGTGTGTGTGTGTGTTAAGCAGCAGAGTTCAAATATCGAAAAATTGTATGTTTATTTTGTTTAGACTTATTCGTGGGTGTATCACGGCGGATTGTTGAGGTCATGCCTTAACATAGAGAGATAAAAGAGAAAGAGAGGGAGATTTCCATTTGGGTTGCCAGTGCTGGGGGTCTGAGAAGTAAACCAACCGCATTCCAATCTGAGTGACGCACGTCGAACCCCAAACAACAACTATTTCCATTGAGAGCTTGTTGTTGTGCCACAGATTCAATACACCTGTTTTAGGGACGAGCCCTTGGGGGCCTTACCAGACGATTCGATCACTATTAAAGTGGACCGAAGCCCCTTCTCTCGGCTCTATTCTTCTCTTCTCTTCTTTTGTTCGCCTTGGTTCCCAGGTCAGGTCTTAAGTCCCCAATACCCAAGCCTAGTTTCACTCCTATCTTAATTTGTGCCTTTGTTGCTCTAAAATTAGCCTCCAGCTGAAACTTTCATTGACGTATTTGTTCACCTTGTTTTTATGGCTTTTTGATTTTTATTCAAATTCGAAGTTTGTTTGGTTGGTTTTATGGTCTGTCTGTTGCATAATTAATAATCTGGGCTGAAGCTGAGGCACATTTGGTTTCTTATCTGGGTTGGCCTTTGCTAGATAGTATCTAGTATAAAATATAGTTGCACTTTACACTTTTCGCTGCTGAATATATTGTGTATTTGTTGGCTTTAATTCCTTGAGAAACCACGCCACACACATTAGTTTCGCTTAAAGAAAAACTGGCCAACAAAGAAGCACGAACGAATCCGAATAAAAATCCAAGTCCGAATGAACCAAAAACGAAAAGCGAACGAAAACAAAGCCAAAGTCCAAGAGCATAAACTTCTAATAGAAATGTAAACAGGTGGCAATGAACTTTATTATATTTTTATGCTCCAAGTCCTTGAACCCGCAAAAATCACACAAAGTAAAGCGTAGAGGGACGGGCGAAAACAACACGGCAATGAACTTGACGTCAATGGCGGACCATTGGGCAGACGGTTGTTGTTGCCGTTGTTGTTGCTGGCCGGTTGTTGTTGCCTTTTGTTAACCTGTTCTTGAGTTCCGCTTTAGAGCCTCGTCTTCTGCTTCTTCTCGAGTTTCTTTAGAGGCTTTGCGGCTGCGCAGCAGAAACTTAATTTATTGCGTGTTTAATTCCTCTTTCAATACAAGCCAAACCCCTGATAGTCGAGGGAAAAGGAAGTGATTTATAGGGTTGAGCTTGGTACAACCTCAGGAAAAATGTACTTTTTAAATCATTATTATAGAACAGCAAAATATCAATACCCAGAAGTCTAATTTGAGACAAATAATTTATACAAAACTGCAAGCATGTGCGCCCCATAAGACCCAAAAACTGGAATCAGAGAGGCAGTGAATTAACAATTATAATGAACAAAGCAGCCCATCACTTTGAAATTTATTTGGTTGTCCCAGAAATGCCATTCAATGAAATCTTACCCCAAAGTCTTCCAACTCGACTGCATTCTAATCACAGATTCCTTCGCAGATTAACGGTACACAGCAGCAGCTTCAATCGCCAAGCGGTGCGAGCGGAATCGCAGCGGCCGCTGTAGTCTCGGTGGCAGCCGCCTCGAGCAGCAGCAACACAACAGATTGCAGCGACAACTGCAGGAACGGCATCGAGCAGCAGCAGTTCAACATTGCTGCCACCACAGCAACATCGGCGACAGCGGCAACAATGCCGGCTATGGCCAAGGAGAAAGCCTCAGCACCAGTGTCCTTGGGCGAGTCGAATTACAGGGATCTGAACCTGAAGGAGTTGGCCGTGGTCGTTGGAGCCATGGCGGCCACAACAACGCGCCTGCACCATCAGCACACTTGCGGCTGCGGAGCAGTGTCGGCGGCGTCAGGCCCTGAGAACAACAACAACAGTCGCTACGGCAGCAGCAAGTATCTGAGTAATGGTAAGCACAGATCTAAGTTTCTACTATGTCTACTTCTTTATTGTCCCTCACTTGGCTTATGATTATTTATCACCTTGGATCGGCAACCATTAGTTTACAAAGTAACTTTATCAGATCTACCCAAGATTGTATCTTAAGCTCATTGGCAACATGTTTCGGTTCTGACGCTAACGCAATCTCTCTCTTTTCACACTTTTTCCTATCGCAGGCCACACTTCGCCTTTGGCAGCAGCGGTTGCCAGCAACAGTTCGTCGGTGGCTACCACGCCGCAGTGCAGCAAGTTGAGTTGTCTGGAGCCGAAGGAGCTACTGGGCATGTTGCAGCAGCAGCAGCAGCAACAGCAGCAGCAACAGCAGCAGCAGCAGGCGCAACAACAGCAGCAACAGCAGCAGCAGGCGCAACAGCAGCAACAGCAACAGAATCCAGCGGCAAGAAGGTCGCCAAACGATTTCATTTTCGGACGTTACATTGGCGAGGGCAGCTATAGTATGGTGTACCTGGCCGTGGACGTTTACTCGCGCCGCGAGTTTGCAAGTAAGTAGTGCATTGTTTAGTAGATAGTACTAGTACCGTAGTAGTTCTTCAGTTAGTAGCCTACAAGCATGATGGCATTCACTTTCGCTCAGTGTGGCTCCCAACAGTCGACCGCCCACAGCATTTGTTCGGCATTTGTATGGCCTCTGCTTGGCGCCAGCGCCAGCGCCAGAATGCGGTCGCCATGTAGACGCCGTGCTATTGTTGCTGTTCGCTTTGCTTTGCTCTGGCTGTCACCTGCTTGGCTCGCCAACAATCTCCTACAGCAACAGCCGTCTGTATGCGATAATGTGCGAAACCAATACACAGGCAGACCTCTTCTACCAAGGAATGCTCGGAACCGCTTTGGGTGGGTATTCCCATTCCCGTGGGTGTGCCGCCGAACAGTGGGAGTGATGGCATATGTCAGCTGATACTCCGAGATTTCTAGACAGGAGTGGGTGCCCAGAGCCGTAGCAGCTCCCAAGGCAAGATTTCTTCATCGAGGTGGCGAAGGTTCCATTTCGGGCGTCGCTCACGTGACCCCCTTTTGTTGTTATTGGTAATTTCATCAGTCGGTCTGCCAAACTGCCAGCGTAAATAGCGGAGAGCTGTAGGTTGTAGGTTGTTATCTATCTGTCTGATAACGCGCAAATGTCGCACCGCAGTTTCTTTCTTTTGTTTTATTTGCTTAGCTGCTTGTTTATCGATGAAAGCCGAAAGCTGACGTTAGTGGACGCGATTATCTGGCGTCTCGCGCACGATCAGCTGTTTTGTTTTGCCGTTCCCCGTTTTATATTGCAATTTCAATTAACGGCAAATAAACCAGTCGAGCTGAAAAGCAGCTGTTAGCTGTTGTTGTTCACTAGATTTCTAGTCTCATTGTTTTTAGAGGCTATATACACATTCACAAATAAATATACACGCCACTAGCAGCGTGTATTTATGCCGATTATTTTCCACCTTGTTTTTTATTTGTGCTAAGCCAATTTGCTTAAAGATTTTCAGTTCCAGCGCCTGTCAGTGGGCGGTGTGCTAGGGGAGGGTGGCAATGATTTTGCCACAGCAGCAGTAAATCAATTCGGTCGCAAGAAGGAAAAGATGGCACGTGTTGCATAAATGCAAACACCAGCAGAATCACGCACACAGAAGCTCGGCGCAGCACGCGTGGGAGCGAAAGAGATGGGAGTAACGGCGCGTGGCTATCAGAATGCACTTGCAATCAGGGGCGGATCAAGAGGGGTTCCGATAAAACAATTGGATAGAGGAATATAAATTAGAGTAAGAAGTAGTAGTCAGTCCCTTGTGTTTATATATTTCGTGTATTACGACAAAGTGTTACCCAATAGTGACCCCTGGATAATCCTACGCCACTGGTCTATGTTGTTATTGTTGTTCTGGCCGCTTTAATTGCATTTAAAGTGAAAGGCAATAATAACAAAGTCAAGTTGTTTAAAAATAGGAAGCGCACTCACACAAGTCGTAAACAGATTCCCCGTAGGCGCCTCTCCCTCTCTTTCACTCACTCTCCTGAGTCGCGAAATTAATAAACAAATTTAGTTTGCACTTTTGACATTGACGTTGTTGTTGTTGCATCGAATACGAGAACAATTTGTGATTGAGGGGCGAGACACTGGTTTACGAAGGTCAACGTTTGTATTTTGGCTTACCGATTTGACTCTTTGTTTTTGCCCTTCGAATGTGTTTCATAGCTAGCAACAACTGTCCGCCAGACAATCACGCACACTGGCAAAGGCTCCTCCCACACACCTATGTACATACATAAATGAACACGCACGCACATTCACGATGAACACAGCAGTTTTCGTTTTCATGCGCCCCGTCTCGCTCTTACCTACGCACTTTGGCCGCGTTTTCGTTGTTGCTTCCCCAGTTCGATGACGACAGCGGCGTCTATTTGACGCCATACGAAACACAACATACGAAATTCGATTTTCGGCTGTAGGCTTTTCACATTGCCTGCGCAGCTATTTCATCATCTTTGGCAACAACAAATGCCGCGGCGTTATTCAGGGTATCTTTATTTTCTGCTTACCTGTATTCTGGATTGCCGCAATGGAAGATTTTTCTCGCCAGCACGTGTTCGTGCAGATAATCCTGCGCGCAGACGTCTCTATCTTAGGAAATGGGGGGCTGGAGAGGAACACAGAGAAAGAGAGAGAGAGAGAGGGAGAGGCAGCAGCTGTTCATTTCCGGGAATAGCTGGAATAAGCTGGAAGAGACATTACTTTATTTCACCCACGTCGCAGTTATTGTTAACTCATCTTGTTAATTAGATTCTAAACATTTTCCGAGTACTTGTGTGTATCCCGGCTCTGTGTTTTAAGCCATTGATATGGCACACCGAACTGGTTTACCCTTCTGACCGGGTTTTCGATCCAGTTCCACTTCATCGTCTCCTTGATCACAGAGACTCTTTCATCGGGGTTGCGGTCTGGTATTTTCTTAGCATTCAACTTTATGCCCTGCCCGCTCCTTGGGTTTTCTCCTCGGTGTTATTTTTAATTACACATTTATTTTTGGACAGCAGCTGTTGCTGCGCAGCCGCAGCTGGCTGAGGGTATTCAACTGAAATAGCCGCTTCTTCTTCTTAGGGGGTTATTTTTCTTAGCTCTGCCTGCAGTGTGATATTGGGCTGGGGATTTGGGTCATTCAACCCATGACTCCCGTCGCTCGAATCCTTTACTTTGCCCTCGGGCTTATTCATAATTCTCTGGGTTTTGCACCTTGCTTTTTGTTTCTCTTTTTTATGATTGCAACAGCTGTTGTTGGTTGGTTGTCGTGGCTAGATGAGGTGGGTGGGTGGCTCCTGCACGTGCCAAGGACATTTGGCGGGCTGTGTTGGGCCGCCTGACGCTTTATGACCGAAATTAAATAGCGCCAGGAAGGCGCGCACAAAAAGCAGGAATCATAGGACGTGCGAGTGAGTCCGCGCAAAGTTTTTTCTTGTATTTTTTTTTATTGCACACGCACACACGTTGTCTCCGAAATAGATGTATTCAAAATCTTTTGCGTGCAGTCAATATGTCGCCAAATCCCCCGAACATAGTAATGCGGCAGCTCCAAGAGGGCAATAAACTTTGGCTATCCAAGAGCGAGAGGAGCAACAACCATAACAATAAAAAGAGGCACACACAAACACACATTAAAAAAGCCAACTCCAAAGCAGGATTACGGTGAAAGCTACCAAATTAGAACTCAGCAGGAGGGGAAAGTTATTATTTCGATCAGTGAGGTTATTCTATTTCAAGCGCTCATGACATGATAAGTGTGAGAAGGTTGTTTTTAGAAGACTGAAAGAATAAGGTAATTGAAATACCATCTGAAGTCTTTATACCACTGACCACTGTACTTCGAAATCCCTCGCAGGCTCTTTGCTCTCATTCTCATTTTCGTTCGCTTCTGTTTACCTAGGTGGATCTCTTAATGAATGTCTCCCTGGTCACATTTCAGGCTGACCCATTTAGCGTCTCACTTTTTGTTCCCTTTGTTTTTTTTTTTGTTCTACATATTAACTACAAATCTACATATGCATATGCCACTGAGCTATGGCGAAGCGTCAACGCGTTACGTCATGGAGCTCGCTGATGGGGGCCAATTAATGAAATTAGAACTGAAGTGGATAGGGAGAAATTGGCGGCCAACTTCGGTCGCCGAACATTTTGTCAGATTTTTCTCGTCGATCGGTGAAAGAGAACAACAAAGATGCCGCCTGGGCAATTCAATATTTTTATGTGCTTGCGGGGGCTGCATTTTGTCGCGTCTGTGTTCCCAAATTTAGAAATATCTTCCAATAACCCCCACTCAGGATAAATCCCATCTCTTACGTCATTCCTAGGGGGTTATTGTCTTCCATCAGGAAATGACGTTGTATTAAAACGGAAAATGCATCTGTAAATAAATACTTACGGCTTCATGTTTTTTATAGTGTAGTCTAAGCTTCTCTTTTCTGTGCGGCATCTATCTTTAGATTCTCTCTCTTCTTGGAATGCCAGAGTACAGTTTATCTATGAGCTCATTTTGGTCGTTGTCCTCCAGCAGAAAAGCAAGAACAACTTGAAACTACAATGAGGTTGCAGCTTCTTTATTTGGGTTTATTTATAGAATCTGTACGTATGCTCCGCTCAAACGCGGCACTGCTTTATCGACTCGGTCAAAATGACTTGTTGGTTAGTTGTTGTAGCTCTGTCTCACTCTGCCATTCTAAAACCCGTTGGATTGCATTCCTTGCAGCAACAAGTTGCACTATTTGCGCATTCACTGCCTTTCCCGCCCTGTTGTTTTTGCTTTGTGCACTTTATTATTTGTGCTTTGATTAGGCTTTTTTGATAAGCTTTTGGCCGCTTCTAAAATGGTTTTTGTTTTCGTTAACGCAACGAAAGTAAGGCAGTGGAAAAGTTTTGTATTTGTTACAAAACTATTGTGAAAACTAAAGGAGGGGTGGCATCTGAAAAATATGGCTATTTTGGCGGGAAAAAAGCCGAGGTGGCAATACTGAAACCGAGAGCAAGCTTTATACAAATATTTATGCTTAGACGGCGAATTTGTGCCGTTTTTCTTCTTTTTTCTTATTCGCCGCTTTGCAGCTGGTTGCTGGCTGTTTATTTATGTGTGTTTACTTTCGGTTCTGTTGCTGTTGTTGTTGCACATGCTGCAAGACAGGGGAAAAGAAACAAAAAGCGGCAGCAAGTTCAAGGCTATGCTTATCAGGGGGCCATTAAACCTAACCAAAAACGAGAAAAAACACAAAATATCAGAGTAGAGCCTCCGAGTGAATAAATAATGTGACTTTTTTAATTAAAACGAAGAAAAAGGCCAAACATGCGCAAACAGTCGAAAAGAAGAAAGGGAAGGTGAAATGAATAGTGCTTTTATTGCAATCGGACCGCAGCGATAATCGCATTTATCGATGATCCGACGCACACACACTCAGCCACGCACACATACAATTTTTTGCGCAACAACATTTTGAAGGTCAATCTTATTTTTACGCACTTTTTGCGCTTGTCTATCGAATGGGAAATTTAAAACGCATAAAAAACATTTTCGTTTTTGTATTTTCTGATTTTTCGATTATTTCTTGTTTTTGCCGCCGTGCTTTGTTAATCTTTTAATTGCTGTATTTTGTTTTTCCTCTTTGTGTATATTTTGTTGCCACTCGACAGACGACTTATCGCCTCCTGATGTTTTTTAGACTAGATTTAAATTGATTTTTTATTTGACTTTTCTCAGTTCTGTTTTCCCAATTTTTCCGCGAATAGTTGTTGGCAGGGCGTTTTGTTTTGATCTTGATAGAAAGACTTGCACAACAAAAAATCAAATGCAAAATTATCTTGAATTTTATTTATTTTCGCCTATAGATTTGTTGTGATAGTATGAAATGTGGGCAGAGATATGGTTGGGGCTAATTTATTATTTTTAGCCTTGTTTTCACCAGATTTGTGATTTTCCGTTGCGATTGTCAATCAAAAAGCAGGTTCGCGATTGGAAAACAAAATAACGGCAAGCAGAAACAAAAGGGAAACTACTGATAAGCGGTCATAACTCCTCGCATGCTGAACCACCGTTAACCCGCGAAGGAGGGAATGGGATGCAAGTTTATACATAACCCCGTTTAACGTGGTTCATCATTATAGTTCTGTCTCGCTCGGCTACCTCTCTTCCTCCTTTCTCATCCTCTATCCGCGGATTCCAGTTCAACAACCAGTTTAGAATTTCTTCAACTTTGTGCTTTTCATCTCGCTCAAACGCTCTTCTGGTCTGCTTATATTTTCTGGGGGCCGGGAAAGGGACGGAAGTGAGAAACAAGTTTCTCTAAGCGCGCTCGCTTTCGTTTGTCTCGCTGTTAATTTAGCAATTTGAGCTGAATTCTAAATACTTATGTATGTATATACATATGTATGTATGTATGTATGTAGATACCTTCTTTTCGCTATCTTCTTCAGCTATTGCCCTTCCTCTCTGAGCTCTCTCTTTGGACAATCGAAATGATATTGTAAGAGGAAGTCCTCTGGATTTGACAATTTGGTCGCCAGTTCGAAAATTTAGTTTTTTCATGTTTCTTCTCTGTGTGATAGTATATTGTTCTAACGAGTATCTAATGTGATTCTTTTACTAAGCTTGGTTCTTTTTAAAGAGATAGTTTTATATATTCTATATTCGATCTCTTAATTAACTAACGCAAATTCTTTTATTCTTCTTCCAGTCAAAGTATGCGAGAAGCGGCTGATCCTGCGCGAACGGAAGCAGGACTACATCAAGCGGGAGCGCGAGGTGATGCATCAGATGACCAACGTGCCCGGCTTCGTGAACCTGTCGTGCACTTTCCAGGACCAGCGCTCCCTCTACTTCGTGATGACTTATGCGCGTAAGGGCGACATGCTGCCGTACATAAACCGCGTGGGCAGCTTTGACGTCGCCTGCACGCGACACTACGCCGCTGAGCTCCTGCTGGCCTGCGAGCACATGCACCGCCGCAACGTGGTGCACCGTGACCTTAAGCCTGAGAACATCCTGCTCGACGATGACATGCACACGCTGATCGCCGATTTCGGATCTGCCAAAGTAATGACGCCCCACGAAAGAATACTGGCCACGGAGCACTGTTCAGGGCAGCGGCGCAATCACTCGGACGACGACGATGAAGACAGCGATCGGCTGGACAACGAGGACGACGAATACTACGACCGCGATTCGGAGGAGTTGGACGACGGCGAAGGCGAGGGTGACGAGGAGCAGCAGCAAGACGAGATGGACTCGCCGCGCCACCGTCAGAGGCGGTACAACCGTCACCGCAAGAACAGCTTCGTAGGCACAGCTCAGTATGTTTCGCCGGAGGTTCTCCAAAACGGACCAATAACTCCAGCAGCTGACCTTTGGGCACTTGGCTGCATCATCTACCAGATGATCGCCGGCCTTCCGCCATTCCGCGGCAGCAACGACTATGTCATATTTAAGGAGATTCTTGACTGCGCCCCGGATTTCCCGCCGGGCTTCGACAAGGACGCTGAAGATCTGGTGCGTAAGCTGCTTCGGATCGACCCCCGCGATCGTCTGGGAGCCCAGGATGAGTTTGGATATTATGAGAGCATTCGGACGCATCCGTTTTTCGCCGGCATCAACTGGCTGACACTACGTCAACAGACCCCGCCTCCCATTTACCCATACCTGCCGGGCGTGAGCCAGGACGAGGACTTCCGGTCCAGCTACATTGTGCCTGGCGATTTGGAGCCTGGTCTTGACGAGCGGCAAATATCTCGACTGCTTAGCGCTGAACTGGGCGTTGGCAGCAGTGTAGCCATGCCCGCCAAGCGATCAACCGCCAAGAGTAAGTATTCCTGTACCCGGTGTCTTAAGTTTCTACATTGACTAACCAATCCGTTGTCTCTCTTCAGACTCTTTTGACCTGAGCGATGCCGAGAAGCTTCAGCGCCTCGAGCAGCAGAAGACTGACAAGTGGCACGTGTTTGCCGACGGAGAGGTAATCCTCAAGAAGGGTTTCGTGAACAAACGTAAGGGCCTGTTTGCCCGCAAACGAATGCTCCTGCTGACAACCGGACCGCGGCTCATTTATATCGATCCCGTCCAGATGATCAAGAAGGGCGAGATACCATGGAGCGCCGATCTGCGAGCAGAGTACAAAAACTTCAAGATCTTCTTTGTCCACACGGTGAGTGTCTGCAAGGGGCTTTAGGTTAGTTAAGGATTTCAGAGAGGCAATTCATAAAAACTATGGAAAAGAATTTCGCCTCACCGATGACATCACATATAGCAGCTTTCGTCTCCAGTCGCACGCCCACTAAAAAGCATTTTGAGCACCAGTTTATGGCCCCGGCACGTGTCGGCAATGAAAACAAATTAAATGCGGCATTGAAAACTGCACACGCAACGCAGATAAAACCTTAAACTTGTCCGGGGAATGGGGTTGAATGATTTTAGTGGAGAGCCAAACTAATTTCCCTTCTCTTTTGCTTTATTGCAGCCAAATCGCACCTATTACCTGGACGATCCGGAGGGCTACGCCATCCACTGGTCGGAGGCCATTGAGAATATGCGCAAGCTGTCGTACGGTGAAGCCTCCACATCCGCATCCGCAGCTTCCTGCTCGAGTGGCAGCAGCAATAGTCTAGCTGTCACCTCGAACTCCTCTGCCGCCTCCTCAAGCAGTTCACCCACGGCGCGCCGCAGCTCGCCCGTGAACGCGCCTCCATCGTCGACGGCGTCCGACACAAGAGCATTGAGCAACAGCAGAACAGGAACGACGCCGCGCAAGAAAACGGCATCGAAGTGAACGTAACCCTAGTTCTAGCAATGTGAAATTAAATTATAATTTAGATGAAATTTAGTGCAAAAGAAGCGATACCGGGAGGGAATAGAAGTAAGCATAGCAGTACAGTAGGCGTAGGTGATAAAGAGAAACTAATGATCGAGTCTCTAGTGCTAATTAGAACCCAATTTCTGTTTTTCGTTTCATATTGTGCTTAGGGCGGAGAATACAATACTAACCTAAACTAATCTAATCTAAAGTAAAGAACATCAATAACGGCTAAGTAAATTCAATTTGAAACTTAAATTAAATATTTATATACAACATACATGAATACCATCATGTTCGTATTTAGTGGGTAGTTAGTCACAATTTAAATAAATTACCGAACTAGGATCATCGGATCGACGTGCTGATCAGATCGATTAGAACGGACAGGCAAAGTGGAATTCTGGGCCTAAACGTCGTAAACTAATAAAGTAAGCGAGAAGCCGCATTGAATTCGTGGATTACTAGAAAATGTGTGTAAACTGTATAAGTATGTATATGTATATGTACGTATATATATGTATGGTATATCTGGAGAAGTGGGACTTTTGTTTCTGTATTATAGTGGCAAAAAGATCATGTATCTGTTAATGTAAATTTTGTAAACAAATGTAACTATGTAAAGAACAATATTAGCTATAACAGCGCACGGCAGAAAGAGCCTTAGATAGTGGGAAGGAGGTGGAAGTAAAGCAGGCCGATACCAATCGGCGCTTTGCAGCTCCACTGCTCAGTTTTCTAGTTAATTCTAATCTAAAGTTGTACGCTAATTGTCATTATGTACCATTGTCATTATGCTTTTCGTTTACCTTATTGCCCTATGAAGAAATGTATAAGACTTGAGCTACTCTAATTGTAATGAAAGAACGAATTTCGAATTTGATTTAATTTTTATTTTGTAAGGGCCGCCTCTAGAAACTCAGCAGTACCAAGTTTGTCAAGATATCACGGTCATTGGTCATTGGTCATTGGTCATTTGTCATCTGTCATTTGTAACCACCCCTTCAATTGAGTGTGTAACAAGTCTTATACAATGTTTAGTGTATACTAGATTTAAGACAGACTGGGAAAAGTTTCTAAAACTCGCGCGTATTAGTTAAATTTTGCAATCATCTAAGTTGCGCCCACTACTTCTACTACTAGTTCACGCCCATCCCCCATCTTAGCCTTTAAGCTATAGAAATCTAAGTAATAAGCAGAGGTGTAGAGTAAGGAACCGAAGTTGAAAGAAAGCAAAAAATACATTTTGTACATACATATCGCATATTGCAGCGGCTACCGGCCGCGGCAGTCGATAAAAATCTATACCTAATTTAATTTCTTTGTAACTCCTAAGTAAATTATTTTTGCTAACCTTAAGTAAATTAAATGTAATGCAAGATGCAAACCACACACACTTACATAAGTATACAATTAATTAAATTAAACGAAAATTACGATTTATTACAAGCTGTCATAGAACGGAGAGCCACTAATAGTGAGAGAAACCTGTAAAATAAATATTTAAACAAATTATATATTATCTATATATGAATACCAGATACTAGAACAAGATCGGCAAAGAGAGAAGCAAGTAAAAATACAAAAATATTATATTACGCCTAAATTATATTGGTAAAAAACGAGCGAAAAGAACGTATCATTAAAAGGAAATATTAGAGAAAAATACAAAAAATTCAAAAATTAGAACCAAATTTGTTTTCTTTTCGGTTTGTTTGGTTGTACGAATTGGCAATATCAACCCGATTGGTTAATTTACCCCACACATTAGTTCCCCACCTTGCACCTAGCAAGACAACAATATACCACTAGGTTTCTACAACTATTGTAAAATACTACCACATATACAAATACACAAGCAAGACCAGACTGTTCTACCAATTCTTTTGTGCTGCAGTACCTAAAATCGAGGAGGGGAGTGTACTTTGCCTACGACCCAGAAGGACAAATCTGAAATTTCTGCTAATCCGTTACGGAATTGATTTTGACTTGAATATTTGCAAATTCAGTGCGTTTCAAAACCTTATTTTCGGAGTTTTACTAACTATAGATTCAGGAACCAAAGATCATCAATTGAAACAGGTCCAATTATTTCATCTTCTGTTTCAAAATTCAATTTACCTAAGCGAAAGATATTATGTTTTTGAAATTTTGAAGCACACGGTACACCTGTTTAAGCTTCTGAAAGCAAACAAAAAGGAGACGAGCAAGAGGACTTTACCGTAGATCTATCACGAAGAAGAAGTGCCTAGTTACCCAGTAGTCGTTTAGATGAATATTGAATGCATCATTAAATGTATTTGATTATTTTACATCTCGATGCATTTATATCAGATACCAGATAGTAGACCTTTAGGTTCACGAGCTCTTTTGAATGTAAAGAATGTTTCATGTTAATTTCTGGTTACTTTCAATCCAACCATATTAATATATGTATATTCAATACAATTTATAAGCAGTATACAATTACCGATAGATATAAATCGTGTACTACATTAATATCAATATAAAAAATTATAACAACTTTTTCGTAAAAATTTAGAGCTGAAATTAAATTTTTTAAATACATTTTCGATTCAATTCAAATTTGTTCACAATACAAAAAGGCAATTCCATGTTTTTAGGTTTCTTTAATTTAGCAAATGTAGAGACGAGGTCCCAGCAGCCAGTGCTCTGTAATCAATTATTATGTTAACCATTGAATGCTTAGTCTAATTTATTGAAAAATAAAAAAAAAACATAATTTTGCTAATGTACAAAAAGAAAGAAGTGTTCACTTCTTAAGCATGCGGGAGTATTCTATGAGATCTATGTACTTACTTTTTTAGTTAAACGCTTTTATTTTTAGGTGCTTGTCAATTTGTGTTTCCTTTATGAATATTACGTTTGGTATCGATTTCCAAACATAAACTTTTGGTATGAACTGGGTTATATAATGGAAGACATAAATCCTTGTATAATATTTAAGTAAAGAATTTCGGATGCAAAGCTGTTTTCTCTGCACGAGAAAAACTATGTAATAAGAAAATCAATCTTGAGCTCGACAGACTAAAGCTCTATATGCGTTTGAAAATTCCCGTTCATATACAGAAACTCTATATATAAATATATCAAGCAAAATGGCACTGTTTGTTAATTCAAATATATGATAAATTTGTAGAGGGCGAAAGAGTGTTGTTTCGAATAAAAGTAACAAAAAGGCGGAAATATATGTGAAGAAAGCGGTGAAATTTGGAATTTTCATTGGGTGTTGGCATCTTTATATTTCCTAAAATATTCCGTTCATATGCATATGCTTTTTGCATTTCCCCCTATTTTAAGTCTTATCTTTTGAAAATACCCGTTTTTAAATGGTGTGACCAGGTTATGGTTAGGAATGTTTTCTTAAATTAAAAATATGGGTCCAGACAGCTTCGTTTCCGCATCAGCGCTTGTTTCATAATTCCACTATTCAACAATACGCATAAAAACACCGTAAGCTTTAAGCATTTTGTGCGTGGAAAGCGGCGGTCACACTAAGCTTGAAGCGCCAAAATAAATATTATCGATAACGATTTTGACTGAAAAAACGAAAATATGGAAGAGGATAAACCTAATGATTCCGCTTTGTGGACTTATAAGCTTGTGACACCGTACATTGTCTTTGGCTATCTGACAGGCCTCGCAGCGACGCTGGTATGGAACTGGTGGCAACTGGGACAGTTAGGCCTGGGCATTAGCCTTACCTTTGCGTTTCCACTAGCCGTAGTTCTGGTGCTCCTCTACAGTCGGCCTGCAAGGTGCGTAGCACAAATGTAGGGTATAAAGATGCTTAACATTCAAATTTCCATCTGCTTCCTCAGGTGCATTTTGGCACTGTCCGTCCCCTCCCTGTGCAGTTCCCGTGGCAGGGCGTTCCTCATAAGTCTTGCCTTTGTTATGGCCGCTGTTGGGCCCACAGCCAATATCGTAGCCAACTTGAAGGTGATGCTTCGCAGCCTCTCTTGCGGCCAGGAGCTCTTGCGGCAGGCGCTCGGCCAGATGCTAGACGTGATTCTAGAGCCGGTGAATGCCATCCAGCTGGCTGTTGATCTGTTGCTGCTGGAAGTGCGCCGGGTGCTTAAGCAGGCCATGGTTGTGCTCCTGCGCATCCAGGAACACATGATTGCAATCAGTGAGTACCTGGCGTCAAAAACTATTATTTGCTTAACCTTTTTATTTAATTCAATTTGGAGTTGAAACCTTAAAGAATTGTTCAGCTTGGCTGAAATCAGTCGTTGACTTGTGCAACACGGAAATGGGGACACCTTGGACGCGATGCAAAAAGACGGCACAACACGCCATGATAAGATGCCAGGCGAAAATGGGCATATTCTCGGCACTATGCCATGCCACCAAGCTGTTTCTTGCACTTTGTTACCCCGCTAGGATTATCGATGTGTTCTGCAAAGGTTACGGGGATTTCAGCTGGAGTCTCCTCGATAAGGTCTTAGACCGTAGGTACTTTGCGAACTAAAATTTTGTTTATTGCCCTATATCATTTCTTAGGCTACCGCGAATTTGTGAGGCAAATAGAACAAATGTTCGACGCCAATATTACCTTTCAACACGAATTTTCCTTCGACACAAATTCCAGCAAGAGTCTGTCGGACGTTGGTGAAGAGATAATCCAGGATATCAACGATCGACTGCCTTCGTTTGCCTTTCTAAACAGCTTTGTGGACATTCTCTGCTGGGTCATGGTGCTAACAGTGTTTTTTAAGTAGGCAAGAGCTTCAGCGTCTTACTAATTACTAAATGTGGGTGATGATTTCATTGTTCCCACTAGAGCCATCATCTTCTACCTGCGCTACATGTACAGCCGGCAATTTCAAAATGTGTTTTTGACAGATATTTTGCTTGTTATCGACCGACGTCACGAAAAGCACGGATTCGGTCTTTTACTGCCGCTTCAACGTCTTGAGAGGGGAAGGTACATGAAAGTAAGTCGATTCGATATCTCCCCCTTTCATAATTCATCAATTTGATCGCAGTTAACCAGCCTGCAGCTGACCCTTTTTGAGTTCGTGTCCGTAGTGGAAAATGCGTGCTTTATGGTAACCACCAGCTTACAGCTGTTTGCGATCTGTTTCCTGGATTACGGGCTTTTCTGGCTATTGGCCACAATGTCTTTCCACGGTCACCAAGAGGCCGGGCTGGAGGTGCCCGCATATATCGATCTTGAGATCAAGGGCGGGGGTTTTGTGGCCGATGTGATGCGAGGAATCGCTAATGCCTTTCGACCCTTGACTCAAAAGAGCACTCTGGACACCAATCCCTGCTTGCCGCTGCCTATAAAACCAGACTATGCAGAATACATATTTATATTCTTGCTCTGCCTGCTTGCCTGGCTGATCCTGTTGTCCGAGCCGTATGTTCTGCGCACTCGCCATCTTATCATGTTTCACTTTTATCCGGCACGAGCCAAGGAAAGAGGCATTTATCTGTATAACAAGATTGCCGACGATAGAAGTAAGAAAGCTATTTGATTTCGAAGAGGTGCTAATGTTTTTTCTCTAGCAACTATCTTTAAGGTTGCCCGTCGCAGGAAGCGAAATGAATATAACCACAAGCGGAGGGTACAAGAGAAGCACTTCAGATGTTTCACTTGGCTTAATAATAGACTGTCCAGAGCTATCCGTTGGTGCTCCTGCTTCTCCATCTGTCAGACCAAAGAGAGGTGTACCATTTGCGGCACAATCCTGACTCCGTGAGTAGCTCCAACCACGATGCTTCGGTCTTTAATCGCACAACAACTTTTCAGTTCGACTCGCCACCCCTGCGATACCCCAGGATGCAAGGGGGTTTACTGCTTTGAATGCTTTGAGATGTCTTATGAAAAGTGCTGCCTGTGTAATCGACCGTTAGAATATGGGGACTTCTCTGACGTTTCTGAAGTGGAGTGAGTAAAAATTAGTTTAAAATGTACTATACTAATTTATCTTACCTATGCAGCGACTCTTCGGAAGATTCTGATATGGAATCATTCGGAAAGAAGCGTTACAGAAAGTTCTGCGGAGGACAAAGCTAACAGCGCGGAAAAGAAAATTAATCGTAAAGCATTCCGTTTCCCGAAACAACGTTTTTTTCTGATACACTTTTAAGAAAATCTACTTTTTGGTCTATGGAGGACTGCAAAATACGACACCTTCACACAGAACACGATTCTCATTTAATTGGCATTAAATTGTATGCTTGTGGTGAGTTACACAATGACAATTATTTAATTTAGTAAAGCAAGTCTTAGTCATATAGACCTAAAGACTTCAATAAGTAGCAACTTTTATTGGCGACTACATCATCTTCGCCTCACATCACTGTCGCTGTTAGTTTAAACGTTCGGGACCGGCTTCTGTATGCTCGTTTTTCTCCTCGACATCACTAAGTCCGCGACTCCTTGCTCTCCACCGATCTTGGGAGTCCTGCTCTTTGGGTTGTATTGGCTGGCAAGCATGTGCTGCAATTAAATGTTCATTAAATGAGGCAGCAACGGCGATCCGAAGATTTTTTCCCAGCAATTAATGCTGTTGTACGACCCAAGGAAAATATGATGACATGTTTTAGTGTTCTCTTCACAGATTTCTGTAATTATTCCCTTGGCTCGGTCTTATATTGGGCTTCGTTCTCCAGTAATGTGGCCATATAACACAGCAGTTTTTTATTTAAGATCTTCGAATATAGCCGCTTATTTTGTTAATTTTTGTTAGTTGTCCGTTCCTTCTGCGGGCTGAAAGAGTAGATAAAATGGATTTTGGGGGATTTATGGACGTCTCTTTGATGTGGCCACTGCCCTGCCCACTTCTTTTATGCTTCTTTCTTTCTCTTTATGGCTGTTTAATAAATTCTTCCCTTTCTCCGACCCGCGGCTTCCACTTGCCATGCTAATGTGAGCACAAGTGTTTATTTGATATTTAACACCCGCTGACCTGGGATGCCCGCCCTACCCTATTGACCTCTATCCACTTTGACCACCATCGTTGACACTCAAACCACACACACTCGAGAGCAAGCGGGCAAAGAATAGCGTTCATATCGTATAAGCTGAGTAACTACACTAACCGACGGTTCTGCTCGTACAGGTAAGAACCGGTCCGATCCGATGGTATCGGGTTACCTTGTCATCTCGGGGGTAGTCTTGTCTGACATATGATCGTTAGCTGCGAAACATATGAGCCAACAAAACAATAAGTTATGTCTCCGGGATCGCTGAGGCTAACTCATTTCGTCAGACTGTTTTCGAGAGGCTCCTGAAACGATCCAAGGGAAAGTTTCGACCATATCTTGCTCATCAGCTTACATGTTCTTTATTCACAAATCAAACCTTCAACTCTAGAAAACAGCTTTTTTGTCAGGATAGCCAAAGAAGCCGATGCTTTTGAGCTCCATGAACAGCTCGCGGTTGCTGCCAATCGCCTTGAAGATGGCCTTCTCTAACTCGTCATACTGAAAATGTGGCGAAAAGGGCATATCATTGAGGGCTTGGAAAAGTGTGTTGCCACGTTCGTTGCCAATAACCAATGTGCGACCACAGTGAGAAAACCTGTAAGGGGGGTCGATCTTTAATCCCAACTAGCTTTTCTGATACAAGGCAGTGACTTACCTTGCCACGGTGTTAAACGACGAGTCCATCTTGTGCTTAGACATGGGCCTTAACAAATTACGTCGAAAATCCCAGACGTTGGCGGTCTCCCGGTTTACCGACACAATTATCGTGGAGTGAGTTGGGCACCATTTGGCCCAATGCACTGGCGTCATCTCATCCTGCAACTCGAGCAAGGGCCTCGTTATGCCGTCGATCCAGATGCGCACGAACCTGGAACACATTCTGTATCCAAAAGGGATTATAGGAGGATAATGGTACTCACCAGTCATTGCCGCAGGTGAGGAAGAGTTTAGGTGACCACGGAGAGAACTCCATTACGGTGACTCCGCCGTCGTGGCATCGTAAAACTTCCAGATACTGGTGCTGGTAGTTGATCGAGCACTTGTGGATGCAGCCTTCATCGGTGAGCACGTAATAGATGTCCTTGTGCAGCGGGTGAGTGGTAATGCTCAGGCCCTGCGGACGGCGATTGGACTCGCAGGGAATGCGCGAAGAGGGGTGCACGAAGATGCCTTCGGGGTGCCCCTCGACCCGCTCCAGAATCATCTGTGTAAAGCCCAACAAGTAGGGACTTTTAATGATGCGGAATCGGGTAACGGAGCCGTCCTGAGAAAGGCTTAAGAACGGGTCGATGTCCGCTTCGTCGGCGTCATCGGAAACCTGCTTTATCCAGCGAATGGCCACCACCGGAGCAGAGCCAGGAGATGTGCTGCGCTGCGAGACGGCGATGGGCAGATCCTGGAGACTGCTGACGTCCCGCACCTCGACGCTGCCGTCGTATAGCCCGATGGCCAGAAGAGAGGGCAAGAAAGGCGAGAAGCTAATGGCCGTAACCGGCACATCGTAGTAATAGGCACGTTCTGGCTCGCCAGGATTCTTAATGCTCCACAGGAAAACACTACCCGAGGTGGGTACGTGCTGCGATGAAAAAGAATACAATCCGTAGGCCACGGCTAGGATGTCCCCATTGCTGCGACAGAAATCTATGTCACTGACGGCCTTCCGCTCATCCTTGCTAGGCGTCGGTATTAACCGAAAGAGCAAGTTCATCGAGTAGACGTACTCGGCCTTCTCGTTCCAGCGTTGAACCTGATCGAAGTTACGGAAGCGCCGCAGCCCTGCCTCGTTTGTGTTGCTAGAGAGCGTGCGACCCATGTACATGATGGCGTTACGGAACTCAGGGTTTCGTAACAGTCGTTCTATTTGGGCGGAGACCTTGTCCATCTCGGCCACGGCCTCGTCGTCCTCCAAGGCGTCATCCTCCTCCGCCTGACCCATCGCCGAAGGCAGGTCCTTGACCGAACCCATCGTGGCCGTAGCAACATTGCTCACATTGTTTAGCGTGTCGTACATCTCAAAGTTTGAGACGTATGAGCTTACGGTGGCTTTGGTTAACAGGATGGTGTTGACGGCCCGTGTGGTGAAGAGCAGAGTATCTGTTTGGGCATCATTGTCGGAGCGGCGCCGAATCTTGCCCTTGCCCACAGTCAGATACTCGTAGTTGCGGTTGTCTCGCTCCGTTTCATCGGCCTCTGTCGAACCCTTGGCATACGTCGTCTGTGGCTGGCTGTGTAGCTCGAAGAAGTCTGACTTTCGTAGTGTGATCTTCAAAAAGGACTTAGTGTAGGGCTTCGGTACGTACGTCGCTTCGACAGGCTCGGAGGTGCTGTACGGATCCCAGTTTATAGTTTCGTACATGACCTAAAGGAAGGCGAGGCTTCGAAAATGGTTGATACAAAGGAGCTGGTTTTATTAACTCACCCCATTCATCAGATCGTCGATGGACTGCTTGTTGCCGCCTATTCCGGCCCGCACGCTGGACCGGGTGCGAGATCTGGTCACGTTCCTACCCGCCATCGTTGTGAAGTTCGTCATTTGGTTTAGCACATTCAGATTGTACTTCATAAACTGCTCTACGTATGTGTCGTTTGGAATGGGCTTGGGAGTCATGTCCACTTCCTCACCATCGACTTTCTCCACGACCTGAAGAATGAAATTTTATCAGGAGACTAATTGTAAAGAAGTTCTTTAGTCTACCTTAATCTGGGATCGGTACTGAAGATCGGCTAGTGTCTCCACGTTGTAATAGTGCAAAGTATCCTTCTTCTTGCCCTTAGCTTCTTCGATCATTGACTGGGAAACCATCACCGACTTCTTTTTTGATTCACGATCCCCTGTGATTGAATGCTACTCATAACAGGTGAAAGGGAAAGGACCGTGAGAATTGGTTTGCTCAATTTTTATCCTCCTCTTACCTTAAAGATACTTCCATAATCTTGGCTAATGGTTGTGTTCCTCATTGAGCTGCCCATTGCTTATATTTTGTCTTGGTAGTCCCCTAGGTGTTATTATTTTAGTTTAAGGAATTTATTGTGATTTAAATATTTTTTGGAGACTACTTCTCCACAAACACTGACTTTTCCAACCAAACTACCCATGTTTTCCTACATAGTATAAACTCTTGTTAGAATTAGGATATTTTCTAACAATAAATTTGCTTATTTTAAAAGCTTAAGAAGGCGTATACTTTTTTTATCCTTAGCAATCATTCTAATCAATCCCCTAGATCAATCCCCTACATTTGGGCATACAGACCGGGATCCGCCATCCCGTTTGGTGTTATCAGGAGCGTTCTCCTTCTCTCTGTTTCAGTTTTCGCTCTCTGCTTGGCTTTCCCTGCGCCTGCTCGTTAGATAAATCCGAGATAAAGTTGGCACTTGGGCCGAAGCACCCGCCCAGACTAAACCACCCCCTGAAGGCGAAGGACGACCGGCTCCCTTTTGAACTTTTGAAGGTTGCAAGTGCAAATCAGTAACAGTTCACACTCGCGTCCGTATCCGTGTTTCTGCTCGGGATATCTTCGGATGTTTATAGTTTCGATTTCGCTTTTCTAAGTTGCACTCCGTGGCTGTCTATTTCGCTCCAGACATGAGATAAATTGCAACAGCAACAGCGCCTAACATAAATGCAGCCACAACTAGAGCCATCAATGGAGTGTCAAAGTGAAAATCGAGTACTAGAAAACTCAATTAGGAATGTTGCAAGAGCCCAGACACTGCCCAAACCACAAACGCCTTCGGTGTTGGCTAAGCAGCAGCAGCAGCAGCTCAAACAACCACAACAACAGCCGCCGCAGTACGTCATAAATTCAGTGGCCATGCACGCCAAGGCGACCACGGCCAACTTTATCACTGGCGGCACACTGCACCGGGTGAAAAGTGCACAGGTACGTGCAAGCATATATTCGATATATAGGATGCGAAGGGAACGTGACGCTAATTGGAAGGTTAACCTGGCCGACAGGAATGTTATGGATATACGAATGAGTTTCGCCTTTACGATGCTTACTGACTGCCCACGAGGTGGGCTCAAAGAGTTCTTGATAGAGGGTTGTCTTAAAGATAGTAAAATTTCGTTGATTTTATGTTCTCTCTTTATATCCCAAGTTCTTTTACTAAATATCTGCTCTTGTTTTTGCGGAACATCAATTGAACGTTGATTTATGAAAGCTAATCACTTTACACGACTTAATATTTTTATTTCTGGTTTGGTTATCTTGACGTACTAAAAGTCTTGATATTCTTGTATTTTGTATCTAAATCTTTATCGCTGAAAGCTGTTGTGCTTGTACAAATCGTCACGATGTGTTTAAGTACAATTATGAAGAATTAAGAGTTCTTCTTACGATATGGGACCTGCTTAATTTATTGTTTCATCATATACTTATAATCATTATATCACCAAGTCGATATTTAAGAGGGTTTGTTCCCTTTTTTGATCGGATATGAGCTAAAAGTCATGAAAAATCTACCTAACATTTGCATCCAAATTCCTCAGTCGACCCTCTTCTAATATTAACAACGCAAAAGCCCAAAAAGAGCCACAACAATGTGCTGAGTCGAGATACAGATGGGGATACATACAGATTGAGGATACGTAGGGTGCGTAACGTAAGTGAACGCTGTTTTACCGGCTAACCGAACCGAGCTGGCTACATGGACGTCGGGTCCAGGTGCAGCTGTCGAGAGCCAGTCCAGAGGAGTCCGCATGCGTGCAGAGAGAATCTGTCGAAGTGGCCATGGCCATGTTATGTAAACACCATCAGCAGGAGGATGGAGCTGGGTGGACCTCGACCTCGAGTCGTGACGGAACAAAAGTCAGGGATCTGGCTACGGCTGCTGACTGCCTGATTCTCGTGGAGAGCAAAGGGGCGTCCGGTGGTGGTGGCTTCTGCACGAGTCACGTCATTCATCAGATGCTCTATGATATGAAACAAATTTGCCTGGTGCGGCAGTGTGGGGTGCTACAGTGGGTGGTCTGAGGATTTCAGTGATTGTGCCAAGAGGTATCCAACTATCTGATGTTGATTGAGTGTAGCTGTCTCCTAGCCTGTGTATATTGGGCCACTTGACTGCTTGAACAGAAACTCTCCCTTTGGCTTTGCAGGGAGTCTTTCTCTCCACTTTGCATGGAACACACTGCATCCCTTGTTTGCTTTTTATTTTGTTTTTTATCCCCCGCCCATCTTTGCCTTTGGCGTTTTCAAGGCCTATGTGAGAAGTCCTTTCATCCTTGCCGGGTTATGAACTTGCCCTCAATTGTACCTCACGGTGGTGGTTGTTCCCTCTTGCCGCCATACCCAGAGAGTGAATGTATTCCTCTTTGGAGTCGGTCCTTGTCAGTAGCTACATTTATCTGAGAGGCACAAAGAGCACAGTTTTCTAGTGGTCCAAGATTGTCCTTCTTTGCTCTGTCTTTTATCTCGTTTCAGTTTGTTTTGCTCTTTAGTACTCGAGGGGTTGATCTACCTTTCCTGTCCTCCAATGTTGATGTCCTGGACAAGTCAAGAATATCCACTTCCACAGGACATATTTACCCTACTTAACAATCTAGGAAAAAGCTGAGGATATATGCAAATAAATTCGCATATCTTCAACTGTACTAAAACTTATATCTAACTGAGGATATTCAGATTTCTGGTCACAATTTAAGTTTCTGCTGTACTTTTTGTAGTTGCAACCATTTTCAACGATTGCTTGGGTGCCCGATGTGGAGTGAGAGTGGCGCTTAGTGATTTATAAATTTATTCAATGGCAATCGGCGAGTCGAGCCAAAGTGCTTTTAACTGGCAGAGAGGAGCGGTCATTGAGCCTAGGAAGCACTTCGTCCGCTACTGGGAATTCAAATGCACAGAGAACGGCTTTAGGCTTACTTTGTCCTCCATGGCGCCATCATATTTTGCTGTCGCACCAGGAATTTGAGCTCTGACTGAGACTTTGATATTAAACTTCCATAAACTTCCTTTAAAATATGAATACTTTATATCCAGAAAAGTTTAATCGGGTGGTTTGGATACGAGTTACGCTCAGAACTTATTTATTCAATGTCTAAGTAATGCGTGATTGATATAAATTAAGTTCAAATGCGTAGATACATGAAAAACGAAGTTAAAAGTAGAATTACAAAAAGAATTTATTGGTACGTGTTGGAAATTTCCTAATTTCTTACCCCAAGAACGGTGGAATTATTTGTGTGTTTACCTGTAGCGGCTCCATTCTTCTCGTTCCTCTGGCCAAACGAATTTTCCTGTCACGTGACGGCAGCTGAAAAATCTTTGAGATACGCCCGAAAATAACACACAGTTTTGTTTGAGGGGCATTGAAGATCTTCGGTTACATGCCAACATGCAACATTCAACAGCGCACAACATTTGATTACGTAATTATTTTACCTTTCATATGCAACTGATTGGAATCCGCAGTAAAACGAAGGAAAATCAAGGAAACTCCAGCGGCGTTAGGGACCGTTTGTCCCAGCTGCCACAAATATTTTCCCAGTTTCTAGTTCCCGTACTAATCAGCGCTGTCAACCTTTAAGATACACGCAAAGAAATATACTTCTGCACCTTTCGGAATGCACATGGCAAATATATCTGATCTTTGGCGTCCCCAAAAAAATATGTCACGCATTCCCGGCCCCCCGTTTTTTTCAATCTGCTGAACTCTAATTTATTTAAGTAGTTTGGACCAGCCTTGGCTGTGGGACTAACCGTTGCGGCATTTAATAAATTGCTCTTAAATTATGAAAAAAGCGGAGCAGCCGAGATATATGGAAGAAAAGCTGGAGGTGGAAAAAGTGTGTATCTCCGGATAGGATAGGTAAATGAGTATATGCTGAATAGCTATAAGCCCATTGTCCATATGTATCTCACATTGAAAGGCCTCATCGTTTTGAGATTACGCCGATTATAGGCCGATATATGAATGCTGTTGGATCAGTGCTTCTCACATCGGAAATTCTGCCCCCATTGCTGACCCATTAAACCAAATATGTAAGATGCCGTCGATAATGTTCGGATTTAAGACCTTTTGGGTGTTCCGATTGAATATTTTGGACATGGGGGTCGCCCACGTTATAGCCCAATCCATGTGCTGCTCTTCAGGTTTTGTACAGGCATTCATTTCGGTCCACGTTTTGACCTTATAAATCAGAGGCTAGGGGCCACTCTACCAGCCGTCTGGTAGACAGGGAGAACATCAAATTTGATTCATAAATTTTACAATAATCTAAACATAAATGCTTGATTTACACACAGCTTCGAATGTTCACTAGGGGAAAGATTTTTAAACCAACTAATTCATTTCAACAGCCATTAAGAAATCTGGAACTCGAACAAATTGGAGGTGTCAGCTATATACATTTCTATATTTTAAATTTATGAATTGATTCGGTGTGCCTTTGGGAGCTTCTTACCCAATTTGAAATGTGTAATTGCCTTTAATGGTATTAAATGTATTATCGTTTCTGGGAAGACTCGACTTCAGTCCACATCCACATTTTTGTGGATTTTATGGAACCACAGAAATTACCCTGAAAAACTTGTTAAGCCTTTAAAGTGAGGCAATCCCGCTGTAATTCTCTGGACAAACAACCACTGGAAGATGTACGACGTATCTTTTTGGAATTCCTCCGAAAGATCTCAAATTTACATAGCGATTTGCGTCTCTCCTTGTTGGTCTGATTATTTATTTATTTGCACAAGTGAGCTTTTGCCAAGTGAAAAGCAAAAGGGGAGAGCAGGAGGATCCATTTCAAGTTCTCGTTTTATCTATGAGTGTACTGAGACATTTATGGCTTTATTACTCTTGGAAATGGCAACAGAAAGTCCCACTGTTGCTGACAGGTAAAACTGCGCGAATGGAGTGCAAGTATCTAGTGTTGATATAACCCAAAGCGAATCTAATCTTATCGCCTGAGCTTTTGGACGTATTTTCATATGAGTGCCTCATTCGGTTCCCATTGCCTTCCTTAGATATTTGCAAAATAAAATGTCAACACGCCGAACACACGTGATAAGATAAGGCCTCCAAGGTATCCGCCTACGGCCTTTGTTTTTGGCTG